TGGGAAACATTGAAATTTGGCATCAAAATAAGCTCAGCTGCCGAGTGGGCTGAACACAACTGAGGATCAATACCAAGGAAGGTTGTAGACAAAGCTTTCTAAACGTACCTTCATATGCTGTTGAAATCATTCTGAGATCTGTGAGCTGCTATCACTTTCATAACTTGGGAAATGGGGCATTCATGAGACTCACAGTTGATCCTTTCATTTTGGCTTTCAACAGATTGGCCAGTTGGTGAATTGATTTTTTTTTTTTTTGCCAAGCAAGCAGCCTGCTCCCCTCTTTGTGAGTGGGGTCCTGGGTGACCTGGCACTCCCCCTTTGGCAGAGTCACAGAGGGGAATTGGACACAGCACAGACACATGGGGTTCCCTGCACATGGAGTTTGCACTCCCTGTGAAACCCAGCTATGCACCACCCAGTCCTGCAGTTAATGGATCCCAATTAACTGGGTGCTTCTGGGTGTCCACTTTACCTATAAGTGGTAAAGAGGAGTACAGGCTGGAGAAAAAGAAGGTGTTTGTTTAATATTCTGTAATATTTTACAAGAAAATAAATTGAGGAGCTCATAAATTTCTATCTAAGCCAAAGTATGGGATAGATGATACTAGCTGAATTCCTTCCTTAATCTACCCTGAGAGGACTCAACCACTGCTCTATACCCACAAATACGTAGTAGAGACTTATTTATAGCCTCTTTTCAATAATTCTACCAGTTGATTATCTTGAGGTCTAATGGAACAGTTTGGTGCATCTACTAACATTTTCCTTCAGTCGTTTGTTTACTTGGGTGTTTTAGAACTTGTTATCAATATTTTTTGTCCTCCAGAGAACACAGGCTTGGTGTCCAATGGAAATCAAGTCAAGATGACGTTATCAGCACGACTTATAAACTTGTAGAATCCCAGATCACTTAGGCAGGTTAAAGCTGTTGCCTGGAGAGACCACAGGGAAGATAAGATGCAGCAGAAATGCACTGGACTCAGGGCACAGCCCACCCCTGGCTTTCCCCTGTTCTTCTGAGGCAGTTAGTTTCTCCTCTGCACCTGCCCTGACACCAAGCCTGCCCTGGCCAAAATCTTCAACTGAAGATCTCATTGGAGATTAGATCTGCCTCTTGCATAGCTGTAGGTAGCCTAGCAGTCACTGAAAACAGCTGCAACATCTGTATAATATTGGATCCAAGCCCTAAGTTTTCTTAACCCTTTCCCTCCCAGGGTGCACTGCTAGACCGCCCCCCCCAACAGCCCTTTAGATCCCAGTGGACTACAGTGCCATCTTGTGGCCAATAGGTGAAGTTTCATCATTGTTTCTTCTGCAATGGCCCAAGGAATGCTGGGAAGTGAGCTGGGAGATTATTCCAGAAGAGCCATCCCCATCTGGCAGGTTTTATGATCAGCTTCCCTAAACCCTCTTCCCAACACTAGTTCTAACCCTGCTATTGCTTTGAGTTACCAAGCTTAATATCCACCCCTCATTCTGAATAAGTTTTATCGCATTGCTCCAGTTTATAGTCTTAAGTTTTCCTCCCTTAAAACTACCATGTAAAGAAAGAGGAACAGAATGAGAGGAATGAAGTATAATAATATTTGATTTTCAACAGGAAGAAAACACATATGTCGAAGTATAAAGAGATTATTTAATCTGAATCACTACAGATAAACAAAAATGTCCTCCAAAAATGACAATGTTACCCCAAAAGTATAGATCAGCAAAAGATGAAGTCAAATGTGTATTAATAAAAAGTAAAATTGAAATATACAAAAGGAGACCTCTTACAAGGCAACAAGCAACGGTGGAGGGAGTGGTACCTAATGCAGAAAATAAGGATGGACATAATTCAGACCAGCAAAGGGCCTACACAGGAAATGATCAACTTGTGCAATGCACATCCACTGATCTGAACAGCAAGGAGGGAAGAGATGATTCTGGAAGAGGCAGAGGGGCTGCAGGAGATGAGGACATGCTGGTGCAAAACAGTATCATAAGGAACCAAATCAACCAGGGGACTATGGATCACATAACTTTTCTTCCTCCTGTCCCCTATGACAGCTGTACTGGACAAAGGATTTGCACGAGCACCCTAAATAGATGCCCCTGGGATTTGCTCCTCCTTAGATTCCATGGATGAACTCCTAGTCCGTCCTTATTGGCAAGGTCTGAAGGAGATGTCATCTCTTCCTCCCCTTCAATCTCACAGTATTGGGGATTGGCACAGACCTGTCAATTGGCATCAGCCTCTCAATTAGCATTGACCTCTCTCATGACATGCTCACATGCCCTCTAACTGTCCCTTGAGTTTAGGGACGTGCTGGAGTCGGTGTGTATGACTCAGAAAAATCAAATAGGCATACTCTTCCCAGGTCTCTGTTCATTTCCACTAGACTGAAAATTAGATGTGGGCAATGAAACTTACCACATTTATTATAGGATATGTAAGCGACTGCTTTGAAAACTATTGCTGTTTCTTTCACTGTCTCAGTTTATATATGAACAGGAAAAAAGGCACAATTTCTTAATGTAACCTAACCACAACAACCTCCCCAAGTGCCAAAAACAATATAACTACCAAGTGATTGCTCTCCTAATTGGTGAAATGGCAAAATAAAACAAACAAATAAACAAAAAAAACAAAAATTTTGTCAAATAGTTTAAAAGAGGCCCAGAATCCCAGTCCCTCTTATACTAACATCATTCTGGCCTCCCTCTACCTAAGGAACAGACACAGCCATTCCTGTACCCTGCACCTAGCAGGAAAGCCCTCCTGGAGCCTGTGCGGAACTGGCAAGGATGAGCCTTGGTGATTCTGCCCCAGAGCAGGGATACTCTGGGAGCTCTGGACAACCTCCAGGGACTGAGATGGAGAGCGGCCGTACTCAATCTTGGAGAGAAGAACACTTAAGGTGTCACCCTTTTGACCTCTCAGCCAAACGTAAAACCGGAGTCATTCCTGACTGGCATGGAGCTGCTTAGTTTCCAAAGAAGATTACTCCTTGTTTCAGGGTCTGTCGATACCAAGCAAGAATAGTGGGGCTGTAAGGGATTTACAACCCAGAGTCGCTACTTGCCCACCTCTGTTCCCAATGACTCTAGCATCTGAATATTCCACACTAGGAAAGATAATTTGAAAATAAAACTTGTTCAGTGATACCTTTAGTTATATTCAAAATAGCTGTCAAGTTTCACACTGGCATGCTTGTAGGAGACACAGAGCTACAGAACAAGAGAATTTGGAGATTGAATAGAAATAGCAACAATCAAGGCCCCAGTAGATGATGGCTTCTAGGAGCAAGAGTAGAGGAGAGGTGAATTCTGAACCCTTTTGTCCCCACAAGACGTGGCATAACAAGGACATCAGAAAATAATCCAGTGATGTGCTGCTAAACTGGGTGTCTGTAAAGGCGGGGCATGCCTGGTAGCATTAACTAATTCCTGTTGTACCAGCATACCCATCGTGGCAATTTTCAAGCTGTCATTGTGGCTTCACTAAACTGGGACCTGGGAAGAGTATGTCTATTTGATTTTCCTGAGTCATACACGCTGGCTCCAGCACATCCCTAAACTCAAGAGCAAAGCCTTCAAAGTTATTCAATGCTTCATACTCAACACACTAAAAATGAGGCAACAGCAACTAGGGCACACCTCATTATTTTCATGAGAGGATCAGAGTGTGTGATCCTGGGTCTTGGAAAGGACAAAAAGACATTTGTGCAGAGAAAGGATTTCTGAGTCCTCTGGAGCTGCTGAGATCACAGAGCAAATAGTTATGCTGGTTGGTTGGAGAACTGCTAGCCTCTGACTTGAAGTAATTGCATTGAAATGTGTCTCTTGCTCAACTGAGGACAGCAGGATCATTTCATTAGAGCAGAAACCCTGTTCCTTCCTATTCATTCATTAGTAACATCTGCCCTTTGCTCCTCTTGCGTGTTCATTCTCAGTATAAATCGGAAGCCCTGTTCGCTTTTGTTACATTTTCTTGCAGCACCGTTTACAACTGAGGACCGTGTTCTGTTCAGCCTCAGTGTCAGAGCTTGTCCACTGTTAGGACCAGGTGTCTCAGGGGTCATGTGGAGGAAGGTGGCAGCTGTTAGAGAAAAGGTCTAGGAAGTCAGGGAATTCCCATCTGTGCCCTGGCCTCACTAAGTCCCAGGAGACAGAGGGCACCTGAGCAATGAGCGATTTGATGATGGCAGAATGAAAAATGGGTCCAGAGCAACTCCAGTTAGGGACCATCATTCTCTGGGGAAAGAAATTTGGTGTCTGTAGCACCGCAATTTCTGATCAGTGGATTTGGAAGGACCATGATGCCCCTTCTAGCTATGAAAGGCTCAGGGCACCTCTATCATGGCTGCATCTGAAACACTGAGTCCCAGAATTGGAGAAGTCATCTGTTGCTGAGGACTCTCAGAAACCCATGATCCATGAACATATCAGCTCTGACAGTGCGTTCGATTTCACAGGTCCAAACTGCAGCATCACCCGCAGACAGGTGGAAGATTCTATTGCAATATAATCATTGTACTTCTGTTTGTAACAAGTACTATAGAACAATATATAATATGAAAAATAAAATGAAAAGGAATATAATCAAAAATATGATAAATAAAGCACTTCTTAAGGGCCTCAGGAAAATTATTTCAAATCAAATGAGCTGAGCAACAATGAAAACTCTTAGCGTCTAGAAATTGGATTTCCTGTGAGGGAATCATGGCAGCGGGGGTGAATGCATGTTTCTGTCTATCAGGACAGCAGCAATGGCAAATGGAAACAAAATAAAGGATACATGTGGCTTCAGGAGGCAGAAGAAATGAAGTCTTATTGTTATCCTGATGGTATTATCAAGTAAGGACCACAAAAGTTGCAAAGTCTTTATTTCAAACAGGAAGAAAGGTTTGGTATTTTGTTGCAGAAGACTTCCCAGGTGACAGGGATAGAAGAGGATGTAGCCTCAGACGTTCCAGATGCCAGACACCCCAACACATGCGGGAGAAGAGGCCAGTTTCCTGCCCATGACAACCTCACGTACTTGGGCAGCACAGCAACCGCCAAGACCTCTAGAAAATGCATTCTGCCCTAAAGGCCAAGGCAAAGACATCCACACCTTGCTTGGAGCAGTGAGCTGGCTCTCGGGACTCCTAGAACGCATGGGCCGTGATTGTTTTCACCACCTCCATTTGCAGTCACTGTTTCAGGAATGGATCTGTTGTCTCTTTCTACCCAAACGACAGCTGAGGTCCAAATCTGCTTCTTTCCCATGAAAAGTGAGGAGCAAGGAGAGGCCTCTGTTAAGGGTCTCTAGGAGCTGCCAGGAGGGAGAGGAGGAGGTTTGTGAGCAGGAAGGAGGCGACTGTGCCACACTGTGGCTGAGCTGCTGGCACAGAGATACACAGCAGAGTCCTGCTGCTCTGTGCGCTGGATCTTCAGAGTGGAGAAGGATCCCCCAGCCCTCTCTGCAGAGAACCGATCACTGGGCAGCCCTGATTTGTCTAGTTGAGCTTCATACTGGAAGTAAGTCAGAAACTCTGGGCTCTGCTCCAGGGTCTGTCAGTACCAATACAGCATTTCATGACCCGAAATTGGATCACAACTGAAAGCTATATCCTGTCCCCTCTTTGTGACTTTGTACCTGGGAGACTGGGAGACTCCAGCACCTGTGTGATCTGTGAAAATAGAATTTGGCAACAGAATAAGGAAGAACATTTGTAGTCATATCATACACACACACACACACACACACACACATGCACGCACACACACACACATGCCTACACACAGAGATAAAAGGAAACTAATTGGTGTTCTGAGGACTCACCTGTCCCTAGGAAACCCAGGAACACCCAGCAGAGGAGCCTGTTGCCCAGGGCAGGGTCAGACAGAATGGGGGCTTTATCAGATCAGTGTCACTGTGAGCAGGAGCAGAGGAGGAGGTATGTCCTTGTCTCCACAGGGCAGTTCCCAAGTGACATCACTTCCTTTCTCAATCTCCAGGACCTCAGGGTCACAGCGTTTATATCAGAATGCACTGGGGTGACACTCTGAACATTTATTAGCTCCCTTTTATCAACATCAATCCATGGCTCATTGCTTTGTGCTCCAGACTGTCTGGACCCAGAGGCCTCACACTGCATCTCTGAGTTCATCTCTTCATCCCATAGCTGCTCCTCTGTCTGCTGGGCATGTTCTCTAGGATGTGCCAACAGCGCCCCCTACACAGAGCAGCAAGGGGTGACCTCATTGTCTTTCCTGCAAGTCAGCGTCCCCTGTGACATTCCCATTCATCCCCAGCCTCCTTCATTCCCCCAGTTACATGTGCCCAATGGGATTCTCCCATCACATGGGTTCCCTCATGAGCTGCACCTCATGCCTTTCTTCCAGGATCATTTCCCACCTTTGTTAACTATAATTCAGAAAAGATACTTTGGTAGCAAACTCACAGCAGTTGGTTTTCATATTCCTCTTCTAAAAGTTTTTTTTTTAATAAATCTCACCTTAAATGAAGGAGAATGATAATTGAGCTAATGGTTATTTTTAACCACTATCTTGACTGACTGTGGTTCTCCATCTATTCCCATGGGAGGTATTTCTCTTTCCTTTCTGACTGCTTTCAAAATCTTCTCTTTGTCCCTCATGTTCTACAATTTCCCTATGACTTGACTACTTGTCTTACTAGAGATTCATTTTGATTCTGGAAACTCTGAATTTAGGTCTTTAAACACCTCTAAAAACTTCTCAGCTAACATATCATAAATATCATCTCATAACATTCTACCTATTTTATCTGGTTGAAACTTCAATTATATGCAAGAAAAAATGAGAAAAGTTTCACACATGTTCTAAAACATCTATTCTGTCTTCTCTGTTCTTTAACTTCTTTCATATTTCAGCTTTAATTTTCTGTGCTGCATTCTAGACACTTCTTCAGACCCATCTTTGACGTCTCTTTAGGAGCAGCTGTTTGACTTTGCATTTTGTTGTCAGTGATTGGACGACTCATTTCTAGAGTTGCTATTTGATAATTTTTATGAATGTGACTTGATGGTTTTGGACATCCTCTTTTTCTTTGTTTCAGGTCCCCCTTGGGTTCATTTAATGCAGTTCTCCAGACATTAATATCTGATAATGTCAAAATTTCAAGTATTTGGGTTTGCACTTCAAACTTTTGTTGTTTGTGCTCATACTTCCTCCTTGCTATGTCCAAATATTCTTCATACTGGGAATCTATTTGTTCAATGACAGTCTGTGAAATTCCAGAGAGGCCCGGACTGAGAGTGCAGTAAGAGTCTGTCATTTTCGCAGGCATCTCCAGTCTAACTCACAAGTATATGGGGCCAAGAACTGTCTGCTGCACTCTGGGCTGCCAAATACACCCACGACCTAGGTTTGAAGGGTCAAAAATACTCCCTGGACAGTTGCAAGGAAGGACTCAGAATAGAATTCAAATTTTCTAATTCTTTTTAGTGAAACTCTTCATAAATAAATCCCTTTAAGCCGTGTAATCATCATGACATTTTCTTCCAAGGGAAAATTTTATATATATGTATATGTATGTATATATACGTATACTTATATATATATAAAACCTCTGGGTGGAGGGAGACTTCAGACACAGGATTAAAAGAAAGTTAGTAGCCAGGGTCTGGAACATTTACATACAAAATTGTGTCCACATTCACACCTGGGCAGCAAAGGTGTCCTGGAAAGGAGTCCAGGGACCATGGCAGGTTGAGACCTTGTGTGATCCGATGTCTTAATCTGGGAGAATCTATCCTGTGCTTGGTTGTGTTAAGTCAACATTGCAAAGGCCAGAGTCTGCCTTTTCCAGAGTGCCATTTCTCTTATTCTGGGTTAGAGATGGTCATGTACACACACACACACACATAGACACAAACACACTCATATGCCTCTCTGTATACCTTTGTGTGTATGTATACACACACACACACACACACACACACACACTCTCACACACACATTTAATATAGAAATTGCCAAACCTATGGACATTCCTACTTATTTCCTTTTTTCTCAAACCCAAAACTTCAAAAAATAACGTAGATATCAGAATTGTATTTGGAGATTTCGCACTCTTTCAAATCACAAAGCATAACATATTTCAAATTGGAAATTCCCATACCAACTGACAAACGGGCTTGAAGAAACAAACACTCTTATGCTCGCTCAATAGGAGAATACTAGTCTGTATACCCACAGAAAACCATCTCAGGCACAGAGTGACTTATTAACACTCATCTATTCTGTGCCCTGGACTGGGTAACCGGGAACTTCTGTATGAAAACACTAGGACCTGAAGTTCTGGCATCAAGGATTTGTTTTACTATTGTCCAATGTAAGACACTGATGGGAGCAAAATACTCGGTTTACTGTTTAGGTCCAACTTGTACAAAGTAAAATTAATATTGTTTACTCTAAAATCATGTGTTGTCCTTTGAGTACATTATAAGGGGGTCACATAAATCATGAGTTAAACCTACTGGGTTAGACTGGGCCAGGGGAAGAAAGAGATTTTCTGCAAAGGCCAAGTTTCAAGGGTTAGTCAATGTGGTGCAGGAAGGAGGCTGGTATGTGAAGTATTTTTCCCTGTTAGATGATGCTGGGATGTGTGATATCCTGGGTACTCAGCAGATCTGGGGAAAGGGAGGTGAGGCGCGTAATACCAGGGACTGAATGTTGTCAGTAGGACTGTCCTGGAAAATTGTCTTTCAACCATCTGAGACATGTTTTGGGCTCTTTTGCCCTCTCTGCTCTGTCCTGTTGGGCCTACGTCTCTACATGGGGAGAAGGCATCGCTATAGCATAATATTCTTGCCATCTTCACGGAAATGCAGGGCAATTTCTGCAGATCTGAGGATTTCACTTTGTGTGGCCATCAAATCATTGAGCTGATCTGCTACGAATTCATGAGGCACATTTCTGACCTGCAGAGCCCAAAGGGTGAGCAGAGCACTTGCTTTAGGTATAACAGAACTGGGTCCAGGAAGGCAGCTAGAGGGGAGATTCCCTCCCACTGCCTCCATGGGTCGCAGTGGTGTGACCGGGGGTCTGATGTCCATGTAACTCCAGCAGGATGGAAGCTCAGGAAGGAGATAGAAGCAGGAGGCAGAGCCCTGCCTCGGGGTGGAGGGAGACTGCAGGCAGAGCATTAAAAGGAATGTGAGTAGCCAGGGCCTGGAACATGTACATACAAATTGTGTCCACATTCACCGGAGCAGCACAGGTGTCCCCAGGTGAGGAGTACAGGGACTGTGGCAGGCTGAGACAGTGTGTGATCCGTTGTCTTAATCTGGGAGAATGTATCATGTGCTGGACTGTGTTAAATCAACTTTGCAAAGGCAAGAGTCTGCCTTTCCCATGCCATTTCTCTTATCATGCTGGGTTAGAGATGGTCAGGGATTCATTTGTGTAACATTTGGAAGACAGATGTAAAACCGTGACTATTTCACTTGGCAGGTCATTGTGCTCAGACAGTGAGAGTCAGTGACCAGCAGATACATCCAACAGACCTAGGAAACCCTGTTCCTTCTGCACCCTGTGTCCAGTTCATCTTCCCAAATGTTGGCCAAAAGCAGCCAGTCTGGCCCCTGTATTTGGCAGTGCACCCACGGGGTGACCCCCACACAGAGGCAACAGCTTTTCCAGAAAGAGATTTTCTTGGAATTTTCCCGTGCTGCTGGGTCAAGGTCCCACTGCATGGCCTGGCATGCGCTGACCCTCTCATATCCCTGCCACACCAGCCCATCCTGCCCAGAGCTCCAGGAGCCCTGGATACTAACTGGCTCCCTAACCTTTTGACTTCTTCCTCCAGACCTTCTCTTCCTCAGCTCCTCCTACATATGCACAAGGTCTAATTCTGATCATTAATCTGTTACACTCTCAAACATATAGTGGCTCTGTTTTATTGACACAAGCCTAATGGAGATTTTCTTACTAGAAGTGGTTTCAAGGAACAACTTTTAAGGATTGAATTCTAAAAGTGGATCTCTGATCTGTTTAGAATTGATGTGGGGAAAGATCTGAAGGAGATCACACAGGCCTGGAGGAGATCTGGTGCTGCAGCCACAAGAGGAAGCCTTGAACCAGGTGTGGCCACCATGATAGTGATTCCCCATCAATTTCTAAGACCCACCTGAGCCCGGCAATCAAAGGGTGGGCTTTCTTGGACTTAATGCTAGATCTCTGCCAGGTTACAACAGATGTAGCATGTTCCTGTTACTGATTCGTCCACCTACTCATCACTCACTCAGCCTGTCATTCACTCATCCGTTCTCTGTGAAATGGGTTTCTCTATGTGCCAGGCACCAAGGTTGGTAAATTCAGCAGGCACAGCCTTAGCTCTCATGGGCTTAAAAATTGGGTGGGAAGCAAAAATAAACAGACAAGTGTGTGAGAAAGCCCAACCGTGCTAAAGGTTAGTAACAGACACATGCTTCTCTGAGAGCTCCTGAGAGGAAAATTGATCTCAGCGGGGAGGCGAGGGAGTGCTTCCTGCAGGAGGGGCTGTTCATGCTGAGATCTGAAGCACAGGTAGGAGTTGACCACTGCAGAAAGGAAGCCTCCAGCCCAGGGCAGAGCAAATAGCCTTTGAAGTTTCTGTGATGGGAAGGAAGGAGGCACAGAAGAGGGGCTCCCCTCATGGCTGCGGTAGAGAGGGGCAGGGAGGTAAGGGGAGGAGAAACCCAACAAGGCCTTGGGGGGGTGACAGCAGGCCCGAAGGTGGGCCACAGGAGAGACCACGTGAGGGTGGGGACTGGGGGAAACCCTAGAGAGAGGAAGCAACCCAGTCTCCAGGAAGAGACGCTGGTCAGGATGGGTCTGAAATACAAATCCTGTTTCAGGATTTTGACTCAGGGCCAAAAAAAAGTGAGAAAAAAAGTGAGAGCTGAGGAAGCCCTGGCCCCACCCCAAAAGGACAGCTTAGAGGAAACAGCAGGGAAAGCA